CGTGTTTTCTCCTGCTTGACAGGTCGGCCATTGCTCGCCTCCAGCGCTGCACTATGCTGGGAGCTGTCCCGTGCACCTGATCCGAGTACCGAGACTGAGCGAAAGCCGAGACCGAAATCATTATCTTGGACAGCTCCCTGTGCTTGCGTGCACCCTTCGCAAACCTCGAGAGTTTGCGGATCTTAAAACTTGCTGCAACTCGCCTCGCTGTCTGCTTGGGTCTACGTTTTGCTATCCTGCCCCGATCCAATCCTAAATATGGCGCATTCGGTTTCACCTGAATGCTGATGTTGGCTGCTGCAAAAACGCTGGGCCAGTTCACGAGCCGCCTGGTGACACGATGAGATGATGCACGATTTATCTCCCGTCGCCAAGCTGACTGCATGTAGACCATTAACCAGCTGTTGCCCTGCCTTGAAAAGCGCGTCTACTAGCCTCTGTCTTGGTGCCTCACATCGTTGCACGATGTCGTCTACCCAGGTGTGGAGACTTGGCGCTGGAGGAGGGCATCTGGCCACTTCCTCACAAATGAAGTAGAGCGCACACCTGCCTAGGTCTACAGCTCCTGTCGAGCTTGGAATGAGAGACATACTGGGTTGAACCGCTTCAGAAAAGCATCCTTCCTCCCTCAAAAAACGCGGCGACATGTGCATCTGAAGTTCGAGCGCTAAATGAATCGCTGGGAAACCTGACGCAAGCGCCTTCGAGAGCACAAGCTCCCACGACAGGGAGTCGTAGAAGCCTTGTACGTCCCACAGCAGGCTTGCGTGCACGAAATCTGGTATGACTGACTGCTCTGCAAGCTCGTCTTGGAATGCTATCCACACAGCAACCCTGAGCGCTGATGACCCAGCAACAGCCGTGCCCCAATGACCTGCTCGCCTCTTGCGCCACTCAGCTCGCTCAAAATGCCTGGGCCTGCCCCACAGGCGTGGAAGCCACGGCAGTAGGCCGATTGCCCTGTCGGCCTCACGATTCTTGACTTGCAACATGACTAGGACAGTCATGAGCTGCCATGGCCAGCAAGCTCTCGCCTCGATGGCGTTATACAGGTCTGTCAACTGCTGAATGGCTGCCGGCGGTAGAAAGGCGAATCTTTTTTGTTACACTGATCTATCCCGTTGGCTCGACTTGGCACTCTGGCGATGACTTCCTGGACATGCTCTGGCTCTAGTGGCGGGAGGGGGTTCTGGATAGCCTGCCTCTGCGCTTCCCGCCATAAAAGAACAGCCTCTGAGGTGCACGCGCGCCCAGCCCCCCACTTGGCGCCCCACGCCCCCTCTTTGAGTCCGATTCGGCTGATGGCGTCTGGCGCAGAGGCGGCTCCTGAGCGAACCTCCCCCACAAAAACAAAAAATCTTTGGCTTGATCATATTGCACAGCCACTTGCCTCCAGCAAGGGCCTGCCTCAGCACCCATTCTTCGAAGCTTTGTTGATTCATGTGCTGCAACGCTCTGTGAGCACGGGTTGCGTTATGCTTCGCCTTCAAGCTGAAACCTGCTATTTCTCCATCTGAGGCCTTGTCCAAGTGCCCCAGCCCTTCAGTCCAGATACCCCAGAGGCGAGACGAGAGAGGCATGAGGGACGAGGTGGGAAGCTGGCTGGCTAGCTCTCGGACTCTGGCCAAAAGAGACTCAAAACGCGGACCTTTTTTCGGCGGGCAACTGACTATCTCCTCTAAGATAAACGCGATTGTGGCCCACCAATGGGCAACTGGATCCGATGCTGAAATGAACGTCGCGCCTTGTGCCTCGGGCTTGAAAACTAGCGGTCGAGCCTTGCCCCGCCCGCGGTAGTCGTTCCGCTTGCGCGGTGGCGCGGCGTGCGCGAGGATGAAAAACTCTTCCATGCGCGGAACCCATCGCGCGTATTCCACTCCCCCCGCGAGGGAAGCCGTCCGACCTAACTGGAACGAAAGCGACTGCTCGATATACTCTGGAGGCTGCAAGTTGCTTCTGGCATGGGGGCCCAGCTGCCTCCCGTGCCATAGCTGATCTAACTGGGCGGCAGACAACTGATGGAGCAGGTGATCGAACCCCGTCGCCAATGGCTGCTCAGGGCGCGCCTCGGACTCAACTGCGTCCTCCTCCTCACCTCCGTCCGACCAGCCGTCACCACCCCCGAACTCCTCCTCCTCCAAATCGCCTGGGCAGAGATACTCGAGCGTCGGCGGACACTTGAAAGTAATATTTCCCTAGGATGTCTCTGCTGCGCGGGAACGTCGTCGCCCCCTGCGCCTTTCTTCTGTGATGTCGCAGCTGCTCGCCTCGAGCGCTTGCTGGCTGGATTCTTACCCCGCTTCATTGGCGGCGGTTGCTGGAACGGTCTAGGCAAGCTCAGAACTCTGCGCAATGCCTCTGGCATGCATAGCCTCAAGCGGACGATCAGGCCGTAGTGGCTCTTGCCTGCTCCCGCGATGGGCTCCGTATCTGCCACAACCTCACTAATGATGTGTTTTGCTGACGCTGAACAGACTAAAAAAATCAAGCATGCGACAAGGCGAGACAGTACATGTATACTCTACATTGCTGGCTACTCTGATGTCTCCTGCTACTAAATGAGGCCATCCGCTGACCTGGAGCTCCTCTGGCTCACAGTTCCAGTCGCCTATGACGAACCACGGTGTTCGAAGGGACTGCAGCAAGGAGCCCAGGCTGGCGAGTTTGCGGGCGTTCTCGCCTCGCAAGCCCACTACTGTGGTAAGATAGATGCCAAAGATGCTAAACGCCTGTCCTGATACCTTCGTCTGGAAGCCTACAAAGTCGTGAAAATCGACGCCACTGGTGACAGGCTGCTGTCCCTTCTGAAGATCTCGCATGCCCAGCGTGGCGTTGGGCTCACTAGAAAGATGGCGAAACGATTCGAACTGAAAAACCTTTCTGCAGCCTGCGGATACTCCGCCTGGCCTCAAACTGTTCTCCGACGCACGGCTCGGAGTCAAAACTGGCTTGTAACCTGCTCGCGCCCAAACCTCTAAATGCTCATCTGCCTCCTCTGGACGCGTGTGTACTTCTGGCAGGACGTAGAAGTCATGCTCGCGCTTCTGCAGGAGGTGCTTGGCTGTGGGTCCGAACCTGTACAGGCTCCTCATGTACAGCGTGAAGCCCCGACTCTGAGCCTCGCTGACGTCAAAGTGACTGCTGGACTCTCTGCCGCACCCGCTGGATCTCCGCATCCACCTCCTGCTGCAGGGCCTCCTTCTTGTCGGCCACCACTGGAGCGCTCTCTGCTCCAGCTGCTCCGGGCGGCTCGACACTGGCTGGGGCACCGCTCGGCCCTCCCGCGCCTGCAGGCTGCTGCTCGCCTGGGGCGGGGGCCTGGCTGCCCACATGCTGCTGAGGAGAGCCACGAGGAGGCACAAAAACTCCAGCACTGGGTTGCTCCTCGGTCTTCCTCTTCTTCGTCCCGCGCGCGGCCACCTCGGCCATCTCCTTCTGGATGTTCTCAAGGTCGGTGGTGAGGCCTCCCGTCGCCTCCCTGATGGCCTTCTGGAGCAGCGTGTTGACGGCCCCTGACCGCTCCTCCACGATCTTGCGATCAGCCTCCTGGAGTTCCAACCCGTCGAGCAACTTACCGAAAGAGAACTGTAGCTTGATGCCGTCGCGGATGGCCGTGCCGTCGTCGATGACTGGGCTCTGCTCATCCTCCTCTTTGTCGGGCAGGACGCGGCGGGCCGCCTCCACCTCATCCTGCTCCGCTGCCACCAGTTCCTCCGTGGCCCTCTCCAGAGCCGTCTGCGCTTCATGGTACTCGTCCTTCGTGCGAATCCAGCGCTGGCGAGCCTTCTCCAGCGCCTTCGTGGCCTTGCCCACTCGTGTATTGGCCCGCTGCAAGAGCGCCGCTGGGCGCTCTGGTGGCGGGGCAGGCTGCTTCGGCGCCAGCAGCTGCAGCAGTTCCTCCGCCTTGCGGCTGGTGTGCGGGTCCTTGTCCTCGCCAGCCATGGCTCGGAGCGCAACCTCGAGGTAGGATGCCTGCGACCGCCCCGATGCGCCTCCTGCCCCGCTGCCGTGCTGGTGGTGCCGCCCTGCTCCCCAGGCGCTGGGGCTCCCCAGCCACGCACCGCACAGGCAGGTGCCGTTGGCAGCCTGCAGCCTGTCCTCGTACAGGTAGCGAGGGCACTGCGTGCAGAACACCTTCTTCCTGAAAGGCTGGCGCCGACCCCAGGAACTCGTGAGCCTCCATGGAGCTGTGCGCTGCTGCTGCACCCACGGCTGGCGACGATACTGCTCATCCGCCATGGCACGCGGGCGCCGTGTATGGAATGACGCCGAAAAGTAGTCGTGATGATCGCTGGCTCAAAAAGCTCGCGCCTCACTGTCCTCACCTGGCCTGGCCGTGAGGTGTCACAGTTGGGGGCCGCAGACTTCCCCCACGCCAGTCTGGTCAGGTCCTGAGCCGAATGACTCCGGACTTGAGCCAAAATGGCTACGGATCGGATTTATAATACATGATTAGTTTATGAAAAGATATGCATGAACTCATCGTTGCTTTTATACTAAACCCCTGCATGTTTAACACATGATCTGCACGCGGAGCATGTATTCAAAACGGCACTGTACGCATCTCCCCATCACATGTAGTGTATTGTTTGGTGGTTGTTGCTCATTGTTCGCTGTCGTTGTCCTGTCCCGCGACCCGGCCCGCCACCCACCCGCGACCCACTCCGCGACCCACCCGCGCGACCAACCCCGCGACCCGCCCGCGACCAACCCCGCGACCCGCCCGCGACCCCACCCGCGACCCACCCGCGACCCAAGCGCGACCCAGCCGCGACCCACCCGCAACCCACCCGCGACCCACCGCAACCCACCCGCGACCCACCCCGCGCCCGCCTCCTCAATCTTATCCGCAACTGCGGGGTGCTAACTAGATTTATTTTCTCTTGCTGCACATGTAGATATATAGAGATCTATCCCCGTCACCATTACCATCGTCATCGCCATCGCCATCATCACACGGTCATCGCCCGTCACCGCCACCGCGTCCGTCCCTCCGTTTTGCGCGTCCACCCTGCATGCGTGGGCCGACCACGATGCCGCCCACTGGTGTGACCTTGGCGAGAAAAAAAAACATCCGCCCAAAGCGGGCACGTGCACGGAAGTGGGGGGCCAGCAGAGGGTGCACAAGAGAGACTGCAGTGCCCTGTCGGACAGCAGGTCCGACGCGCTGCAGCGGCGCCCGCCGTTATCACCATGACGGCCGCGTCGAAGGTGGGCTCACTCCTCCATCTCTCATCCCGTCTCTCTCGTGCACAAGCCGTATTGTCTCCCACCTCCTGGTCCTCTACCCTTCCTCCTCCTCCTCCTCCTCCTCCTCCTCCTCCTCCTCCTCCTCCTCCTCCTCCTCCTCCTCCTCCTCCTCTACCCCTTCTCCTCCTCCTTCTCCTCCTCCTCCTCCTCCACCACCACCGTACTCCTGGAGTGGTTGGCAAGCGCGAGTGGACTGAGGGAGGCTACGCTAGGGGAGTGGGGAAGACGAGGATGAGGAGAAGCAGGAGGAAGGAGAAGAGGAGAATGATAAGGGGCAGACGACAGAGCGCGCAGACCAATGCTCGGCGGCGAGCCCGGGGAGGAAGTGAGAGGGGGCGGGCCTGTTCAGAAGGCTCGGAAGTCATCGGGCCTTCTGACAAGTTCTCCGAGCCGTCCCCGAGGACACATAACAACTCTCAGAAGGCTGGGAAGGCTCCTGAGAAGTCTCGCCGCCTTCTGAGAAGGCCTTCTCCTTCTCATGTCCCCCCCCTCGCTCGCCGCCGAAGTGCATAGCATACAGAACGCCAGGCCACACCGAGCCTTCACACTCGGGGCAACGAATTCGAAGCGCCCTTCTCGCGTCGCTCGCAGAGCGGCCAGGAAGGAGCTCCTCCTGCTCCCTTTGTGCTGCTACTACTCCTCCCTTCCTCCTTCCTCCCTCCCTCCTTCCTCCCTCCCTCCTTCCTCCCTCCCTCCTTCCTCCTCCCTCCGTCCTCCCTCCCTCCTTCCTCCCTCAGTCGTTCCCTCCCTCCCTCCCTCCTACATCCTTCCCTCCGTCCCTCCCTCCTCCCTCCCTCTCGCCCTCCCTCCTCCCAGGGAGGAAACGGAGGAGAGGGGTGGGAACGAGGAAGCTGTTATGGTGGCGTCTCAAGGAGCTATTGTGGAGAGGGAGAGAGAGAGAGAGAGAGAGAGAGGAGATAGAGAGAGAGAGAGGTAGAAGGAGGGAGGGAGAGAGAGGAGAGAGAGAGAGAGGGAGAGAGAGAGGGAGAGAAGAGAGAGAGAGGGAGAGAGAGGAGATAGAGAGAGAGGTAGAAGGAGAGAGAGAGGAGAGAGAGAGAGAGGGAGAGAACACAGCACACAACAACTGAACAGCAGCAAGAGGAAACGGAAGGTGAGAGGAGAGAGAAGGAAAAGAAGGGGAGCAGGGCAGAGGAGGCGACGAAGAGAGGGAGCAGTAGGAATAGGTGCACGGTGCGGAGGAGCAGGAGGAGAGAGGGAGGAAAGGAGGAGTGAGAAGGAGAGAAGAGTGAGAGGGAGGAGGGAGGGAGAAGGGAGAAGGAGGGAGAAGGAGGGAGGAGGGAGGACGGAGTAGGAGGGAAAGGGATGAGGAGGAGGAGGAGGAGGAGGAGGAGGAAGAGGAGGGGGACGAGGGAGGGAGTCGAGGGAGGAGGGAGGAATCAGAGTGAGTGAGGGGGCCGAACGGTCATTCATTGTCCCTGGGTGCGTGGCTGAAGTGGGGACCCGTGGTAAGGATTATGCTTATTGCGTTTTTGCGTTGTTGTTGTTGTGTGTTGTTTGTTTGCTGTCGTCGTCCCACCCGCGTCCCACCCGCGACCCACCCCGCGATCCACCCGCGACCCCACCCGCGACCCACCCCGCGATCCACCCCCGCGACCCACCCGCGACCCACCCCGCGACCCACCACGCGACCCACCCCGCGACCTACCCCGCGACCCACTCAGCATACAAAGTGCGAAATTCGTCAGAATGAAAGGCCGAACGGTCATTCAATGTCCCTGGGTGCGTGGCTCAAGTGGGGATCCACGGCGAAGATTCTGCTTGTTTTTCTGAGTCGTCCCCCCCCACCCGCCCGCGACCCACCCGCGGCCCACACCGCGAACCCGCCCACTAGCGACCCCCCCGCGACCCTCCCGCGACCCACCCATCGACCCACCCCTGGCGAGGGCCCAACCCCTCGAAACCCGCCCGCGAACCCTACCCGCGACCCAACCCGCGACCCTCCCGCACCCCACCCCAGGCGGACCAACAACACCGCGACCCCACCCGCGACCCACCCGTTTACCCACCCCGTGACCCACCAACCGCGACCCACCCGCGAACCCCCCCCTCCTGTTTTAAAGCAGATGAAAAAAAAAAAAAAAAAAAAAAAAAAAATCAAAAAAACAAAAAAAAAACAGAGAAACCGGCGCGTGCGGCGAGCTCTTTGTATACGCTATGGAAATCAAGCGCCTGTGGCAGGTGTCTTCAGAGCCTCACAGGCTGCCAACGCCCCCGCCGCCCCCTCACTCTTATCCGCAACTGCAGGGTGCTTCGTAATATTCAGATCAATGATGACATCTCGTGCGCCCCAATGGCCCCCAGGCCGGCGAGAGGCGAGCAACGTGGGCGATGCGGAAGGGCAGGCACCGGCGAGCTGGAGGAGCCCCTATTCTCAGCAGGAAACTAGAAGGTGCACTCCCTGCTGGCGGGATACCGCGGGCTCAGGTCGCCGTCGCACGCACTGTCGGGGTACGGGGACGGCGCCGCTGCCGTTCTGGACTCCTCTGGGCCGAAAACGACGACGAGGGACAACGACGACGCCGACGCCGCTGACACCGCTGACGACGACGACGACGACGACGACGACGACGACGACGACGACGACGGGCGCGGGATGCAAGGGCAAGGCAGGGAAGGAGCAGGGCGGAGCAGAGGGAACAGGAAGGAGGGGGCAGGGGGAGCAGCATGACGAGGACGACGAGGACGAGGAGGCGTCGGAGGACGAGGAAGACGGGGAGGAGTTAAAGGGCTGGGTCCGGTAGGAAATAGGATATGTAGCACCCCGCAGCCGCGGATAAGGGTGAGGGGACGGGCGCGGGGTAGGTCGCGGGTGGGTCGTGGGTGGGTCGCGGGTGGGTCGCGGGTGGGTCGCGGGTGGGTCGCGTGGTGGGTCGCAGGCGAGTCGCAGGCGGGTCGCGGAGTGGGTCGCGGGTGGGTCGCGGGTGGGTCGCGGGTGGGTCGCAGGGTAGATCGCGGGCAGGACGACAACAACAAACAATAAGCAACAAACAACAAACAGCAAACATCATACAACAAACAACGAACAACATAACCAGCAGCAGCAGCAACTACACCAACACACAACAATAATACAAATGTCAATAATAATAATAACAACAACAACAACAACAACAACAACAACAACAACAACAACAACAACAACAACAACAACAACAACAACAACCACAACCACCACCACCACCAACACCACCACCACCACCATCACCATCACCATCACGACCACCACCACAACCACAACCACCACCACAACCACAATCACAAGAACAACAATGATAATTTTAAGACTGTTCGCCCTTATATGCTCGAGTGTCCAATAACGCGTATTTCCCAAACCCTCGATACTCGCCCTCTTCGTCTTCGATCGAACCCCTTTTGGGGGGTATACCTTTCTTCCCTGCGGGCCGGGCCCCGGCAAGCGGCGGGGCGGCCGCGGACCGTCGGCTTGGCCAGCGGCAGCGCTGATCGGCGGGGCGGCCGCGGACCGTCGACCCGACCCCAAGAGGGACGGACAGGGGACCGACCACGACGACGACGACGACGTCGATGACGACGGCGACGACGACGACGACGACGGCGACGACGAGCGAAAGCGAGAGCGAGAGAGAACGACAGCAGGGCCACGAAGGGCACGAAGTAGGCCACGAAGGGCGACAGCGGGGACACGAAGGGAATGCGTATGGGGCCACGAAGAGCGCGAACGAGCGGGGGCCACGAAGTGCAGATAATGCGGGGCCACAGAAGGCAACTATGGGGCCACTGAGGGTAGCAACTGGGCCACGTAGGACAGTGAGGGGGACACAAATGGCGACAGCGGGGCCACGAAGGGCATGCACATGGGGCCACAACGGGCGAGACTCCTGGGCGCCTGGGTGTCGGGAGCGCGGCGCTTGGGCAAATTGCAAGAAATTCCAACGCAAGGCCATTCTTCAGTAAGTTGCAAGCAAGTCTCCAGCGAGAGCGCGACTCCAGAGCGCCAGGAAAGCGATTCCTGAATAAACTGTAAAGAAGTCCCAAGCGAGAGCGCGATTCCTGAATAAAATGCGAGGAAGTCTCGGGCGGGAGCGGGGGTCCTGGCTAAATTGTAAGGAAGTCTCAAGCGGGAGCCGTTGTTGTTGTAACCCGGGGGCCAGGGGGCCAGTTTGAGCAGGAAGACTTTCCCTGTCAAAAAACAGGGTGCGAGCGTCGAGGGGCACACTTTGATTGAGAAAAAACACTATGCACCGGTGGGGGGGGGAAAACAATAATTATTCTTCAGAAGTGAGAATTCAAGCACAATCATTCTAAGACTGTTCGCTCTTACTTGCCCGCGTGTCATTCAAAATGAGTTCCCTAAACCCTCGATGCCCGCCCTTTTTGTCTTCGATCACACCCCCTTTAGGGGGGATTCTTTCTCTTTGCGGGGGGCGGCGGGCTTAGAAAGGCGGGCAAGACTGAATGGGCGTACATGTGCCCGCCATTGGAATTGGTGTGGGCCCTGCAAAAAGAGGAGGGGAAGAACGAGGGAGAGTGGGAGGAAGGGAGGGGGAGGGACGAAGGAAGAGGGAAAACGCCAGGAGAGAAGGAGCGAAAAGGGGGGCGGTTGATAAGAGGCAGAGAGAGAGGGTAACAAAAAAACAGACAAGAGAGGTAGAGAAAGAGAGAGAGAGAGGGGAGAGAGATAGAGAGAGAGAGAAAGAAAGAGGGAGGGAGGAGGCAGGAGAGGGAAGGGAGAAGGAAGGAGGGAGAGGAGGGAGAGGGGATAGGGCAGAGACGCAAAGGATGAGGGAATAGAGGAGGGAGAGAGAAGGGAGGAGAGGAGGGAGGAGGGAGGAGGGAGAGGGAGGAGGAGCAGGAAGGTAAGAGCGTGAACGTTCGAGGAACTCCTAAGCGAAAGCGCCGTTCCTGAAGGAAGTCTCGGGCGGGAGCCCACGACTGGCGGGCGATCCCCTGACGGGCGGGTCGGGCGGGTGGGACATTCAAGCGGGATGCTTGAGTATGGCGAGAGCGCGATTATTAAGTAAATTGTAACGGCGTCCTTGGCGCAGTGTGTTTCCTGAGCGACGAAAGCGCGATTTCTGAATAAATTGCATGAAGTCACAGGCGAGAGCGCAATTCCTGAATAAAATGTGAAGGGCTCTCTGGCGGGAGCGGGGGTCTTGATTAAATTGCGAGGAAGTCTTGACTCAATTGCGAGGAAGTCTCAAGCGGGAGCGCCGATGCTAAGTAAATTGTGAAGAAGTTTCACATGGGGGCGGGGGCCCTGACTAAATTGCGAGGAAGTCACAAGCGGGAGCACCGATCCTGAGTACATTGTAAAGAAGTCTCAGGAGCGGGGGTCCTGAGTAAAGAATGGAGGAAGTCTCAAGCGGGAGCCGTTGTTGTTGTAATCCAGGGGGCCAGGGGCCCAGTTTGAGCACCAAGACATTCCCTTCAAAAAACAGGGTGCGAGCGTCGAGGGGCACACTGTGATTGAGAAAGAACAGCATGCACCGGTGAGGGGGGATCAACAATAATTGTTCTTCAGAAGTGATAGTTCAACAACAACACAACAACAACAACAACAACAACAACAACAACAACAAGGAAAAGGCGCGCGTGAGAGCCCCGTGAGCTCTAGCCGCTCCCAACCCGCCCTCGCCTTATTGCGAAGGCTGCGCCCAGAGCCCCGTGGACGCATTCTGACCCCCCCCCAGCAACAGCAACAGCAACCAACAACCAACAAACAAACAAATCCTGGAACTCCCTTGGACTCCCTCACGGACCTTGACGTGGTCCTGTGGGTGAAAGACGTATGCGCGCCGGCGTGCCGCCGCTTCAACACAGATCCGATACAGACTGTATGAGATCCTGTAGAGATCCGATGGAGACTGTATAGGATCCTATATATATACATATATATATATATATATATATATATATATATATATATATATTCGACACAGACTGTATGGGATCCTGTAGAGATCCGGTACACCCTGCATGGGATCCTGTAGAGATCCGATACAGACTGTGCGGGATCCTGTAGAGTCCCGATACAGACTGTACAGCATCCTATACAGATCCGATACAGACTGTGCGGGATCCTGTAGAGATCCGATACAGACTGTATGGGATCCTGTAGAGATCCGATACAGACTGTATAGGGTCCTATACAGATCCGATACAGACTGGATGGGATCCTGTAGAGATCCGATACTGACTGTATGGGAACCTGTAGAGATCCGATACAGACTGTATGGGATCCTGTAGAGATCCGATACTGACTGTATGGATTCCTGTAGAGATCCGATACAGATCGTATGGGATCCTGTAGAGATCCGATACTGACTGTCTGGAATCCTGTAGAGATCCGATACTGACTGTATGGGATCCTGTAGAGATCCGATACTGACTGTGTGGAATCCTATAGAGATCCGATACAGATTGTATGGGATCCTGTACAGATCCGATACAGACTGGATGGGATCCTGTAGAGAACCGATACAGACTGTATGGGATCCTGTAGAGATCCGATACAGACTGTACGGGATCCTGTTAGAGATCCGATACAGACTGTATGGGATCCTATACAGATCCGATACAGACTGTATAGGATCCTATACAGATCCGATACAGACTGTATGGGATCCTCTAGAGATCCGATACTGACTGTATGAAGCCCTGTAGAGATCCGAAACAAACTGAATGGGATCCTATACAGATCCGATACATATTGTATAGGATCCTATACATATCCGATACAGACTGTATGGGATCCTGTAGAGATCCGATACTGACTGTATGGATCCTGTAGAGATCCGTTACAGACTGTATAGGGTCCTATACAGATCCGATACAGACTGTATGGGATCCTGTAGAGATCCGATGCAGACTGTATGGGATCCTGTAGAGATCCGATACTGACTGTATGGGATCCCATAAAGATCCGATACAGACTGTATGGGATCCTGTACAGATCCGATACAGACTGTATGGGATCCTATACAGATCCGATACAGACTGGATGGGATCCTATACAGATCCGATACAGACTGTATGGGATCCTGTAAAGATCCGATACTGACTGTATGGGATCCTATACAGATCCCATACCGACTGTATAGGATCCGACACAGATCCGATACAGATCCTGTAGGTTCCGTTACAGACTGCATAGGATCCTACACTGTATAGGATCCTTATACAGAAATCGTATGGAGGGCTATGGAATTCTCATAGAGGCCTATAGAATTCCTATGGAGGCGTATAGAATTCCGATGGGGGCCTATAGAATTCGTGAGGAGGCCTATAGAAATCCTATGGGGAGGCCTATAGAGTTCCGATGGAGGCCTATAGAATTCCGATGGAGGCCTATATAGAATTCATATGGAGGGCTATAGAGTTCAGGTGGAGGCCGGAATAGAATTCCCACGGAGGCCTATAGAACTCCGATGCGGGCCTATAGAATTCCTGTAGACGCCTATAGAATGTGTATGGGTGCCTATAGAATTCCTATGGAGGCC